TGATCTTTCCTCTAAAATGTGTAAGTTACTGTTCCTAGTGGGATTTGAATGTCGGAGACACCCTGTAAGAACACCGGAAGTGAATGTTTGGTGATGGTGCCTGGACCGAGAATTGGATCTCATTCTTGTTTGTGTGTGTGAAGAAGAAATCCCTGTGGTGGCTGTTAAATGAAGAAATTGTGTATTCCAGGGATCTGGACCTGAAGAAACCCATTTATCAGAGGACCGCTGCATATGGCCACTTTGGTAGGGATTCCTTCCCTTGGGAGGTGCCCAAAAAGCTCAAATACTAAACTTGTTAAGCTTTTTTTCCCCAGGCCTGTTGGTGTATACTACAGAGAAGCCTTCCAGGTCTTAGGGGGGAAAAGGCCCAAAAGTCTCCTCCTAAACAAAATCAAAACCCCAAACCCTGTCTTCTCCTAACTCATCTTCTACTTCTTGACCACTCCGAGCTGCTGTTAGCTTAGTCTGTGTGTGTACGGGACCATAAGAGATCGGCTTCGTAAATGGCACTTGTTCCATTTGAATGTACTCATTCATCTTGGTTTTTTCCGTTGTGGGGTCTGTACTTTTTTGAGACTAGACTTGTCCATGGATTCCCAGGGCCTGACCCTTGATTTAGTAACTTGAGACCACTGGTGCTTTCCCCAACCCCCCAATACAATTATCTCCTTCCACCCTCAACAGATTTGTAACGGTCTGTTTTATCCCTTCTATAAAAAGGCTGGCTGTCAGCTGAATTAGAATAAATATTGCACAGTAGAACTGCAAGGTGGCATAATTAAGAGCTTGTGAGACAAGTGGGTATTTGTCTTTACAGCTCAAAAACACACCTGATTATTCGTTACACTTCTCTCCCGGGAATGCCCAGTACATTGTGAGACATAGAATAGCTCAAAGCATTGATTTCTTAAAAAGAGATACCGCACACTAAGTTATCCTGCTTCAGCAAGGCTTTTGCAGTGCATGGCTGCCTGCTGTTATCTAATAGGCTTTTTCTGAAGTCTGTGTGTAGTTTTTAATATCTGTTAGATGACCCGAAACAGGGCTGTGGTTATATAGAGTATTTAATCAAAAACGTAGCAGATTTTTAAAAATGTTTTATCCCCCTCGCCCAATAAAAAGTAACCCCTTTCCTTGCTGGGGCCCCTCTCGTTGCGGGACGTTGTGTTACAGTGGTACACCTTGTGACGGAGGTTTTTTAAAAATGCTATGCATCGTGGATGAAGCACTAGCCAAACCTTGGTTTGTGACCTTCCTGTTTTCCCAGCGCAGGTCATGGGTGCCTTGTGATGTAATACAGAAAAGTCAGAAGGCCCTTGTACCCGAGGTCTGTAGAATTGACACACTGGTACTTGACGTTTTATTTTCTTTCTGAGAAAGTTAATTCCACCAACGGTGCAGAAGCACTCCTTCTGAGGGCGGCTTCTGCTTTGTTTCTTTTTAACAAAGGTGAAATTTCAGCTCCCTTTCTGTCATGACAGCAGGTGTAGATACAGAGAAACCAGCTCCCATCATGGCATAAAGAAGGGTGTCAACAAAGCTCTCAATACTTGAAAAATGATTGTCTAGTTGTTTCCTATTTATTATTGTACTCTGAAGCTCTGCGTCGATACAGAGAAGCCCGAGCTTCAGAAGGCAGCTCTTTTAGGTTTTTTTTTCTTTCCGAATGCCATAATTCATTTGTTTCCAGCAACCCCTGTGGGCTGAGGTGTCCTACAGAAAAGCCTTGGGTTTCCTCGCAGGGTTCTGGCTGGTGTGGAATATTCTTGAGTGGATAGGTGAGCATAACCACTTAGGCTTCTTTTTTTTTTTTTGCGACGAGAGAGGCAGATTTTGGCCGGTGTTGTACAGAGAAGCCGGCTTGTTTACCTGCTCTCTTGTTTTCATTTTATTTGAGAGATTGGCCTACTGGTTGCTGTAAGTGTAAAAGTGCCTTTTCTATTTATCTGCCACCTCTCCCTCCACCCCCTCCCCAAAACTATATTTCGACCCACTCCCGTTCCTGAAATACAAGCCCCCACGTTTAAATTACATGTCAAATTGAATAAAGTGCAAGATCCTTCAAGAAGCCTTTGTGTACGTGTGGTTTTTTTTGTACAGCTGCAGATTTATGGTAGTTATGGGCATCTATGGAGACTGTGTGGAGCTGGTCTGATATACTCTCGGGGAATAAGTTTACATTGCTCTTTTTTAAAAAGCTTCTGGGTTTGTTGCAACCATTATAGAAAAGCATTCATTAACTTCAGTTAGCTTTAATTTGCTAAATATTTACTAATTAGGTTTACCTGTATTGCCTTTGTCCTTTGCTGCCATTTTTGTATTTAAAAAGCAGATAATATTTAACAAGTAACTGCATTTTTCCTCTCCCTAATTTGATGCCACAGTAAAAATCTGGGTTTAGGTGGTTGATCCCTGTATTTTAGGGTATCTGAGCATTCTTCATTGCAGGTGTTCAGCAGTACTGCAGCAAAGTAAACAACCTGGCACATTGTTCATGGTAATGAACACTAGGACTCATACAGACCTTTGTTCTTGGCACTTATTGACATGAGTTCTTACATTTTATTTTATGCGATGAGCTTTTTGCCTTGTGCAATGAGGATGTTGAAATCCACAACTTTTTTTTTTCCCCAATCTAAAGCAGAGGCTTTATTTTAAAGTGGGTGATGCTCAGGGGTGTTGGGTGTGGGATATGTGTCAAAGTGATACATGCATGAGGTGGGATGGGGTGGCTTTTGACCAACACTGGGAAAAGAGCAAATGGAACAATCCTTTCCTAGTGCTTGCTCCCTGATGGAGGGGTGAGTGTTTCCCATGACACCATAACATCCTGGTTTGTGAGCAGCTGGTGCTGGTTGTCCAGCTGCTCTTTAAACTTGTGCCAGCCTTAACAAGGTGGTTGTTTAATTACAGGAATAAATTCTGTACTCTGAAGCAGACACCTACAACTTAGTGTTGTACATTCCAATACTGTTGACAAAATGAATGGCTTCTGTAAACTAGTAAGAATGGTATAGATTTGTACACGTATCCCTTTGGAACAGCATCGCTGATACTGGGAAGGGTTTGTCCAAGCATAGCTTGTCAGCAGCCATCAAGGTGGTAATTACGGAGTGACACTTGTATTTTTATATGAATCTGCAGCCCCAGAAGGCTCTGAGGTAAGGTACAAAGGTTTTTAACCTTGGAACCTCTATGCCAAGTAAAATGACTGTCAAGTGAGGGGATGGGGGGAATACAGTCATGGACTAGAGTTACCTGTAAGGTACCCGATCAAAACAGATCTGTTTGTCTGGTGATGTACTTTGTACCAGCCTATTGAGAATTAGCCTAAGAAAAATGTCTACCTTCTCTTCTGTTGCATGTTTGCTGGAAAACAAATTGCACAAGGTACTCGTTTGGCCCTGCATCTGATCGTGGCTTTCAAGCCATCAGGTTTTTTTTTTTTGGTCTTTAATCTCAAGAAAAACCGCCATCAATTGCAGGGCTGAAGATTACCTTGTGCAATTGCTTTCCAGTAAACTCTATGTACCTTGCACCCAGCTGGAGGTCTGTGGTACGTAACATGAGAGATTAACTTTGTGTGAGGTATGTTAAACCGGGAGCGTTTGGAGTTAGTCAGTGTGAAGTGACTCATTGGTTAAAATGCCCATTTTCTATATGGGCGTGGTTTCCTTTTGACTGTTGCTTGTTTAAACATCTGTGACAAAAACAGCCATCTATCAGGACTGTCATTGCAGGCTTTGTTATTGTTATTTCAGCCTGTGGAGTATGGTATTATAAACAAGACATTACAGGCCATGTATAGCAAATGTGGCCATATGGCTTTTGTACAGTTAATTGTTTTAGATAAAAACCTTCTTTGAAGAAATAAAAAGGAGTGTTTTTTTTTCTAAATTATTGGCAATACCAAGTAATAATTTTCTGAAAGCCAGAATGCCCTAGCTGACAAACACGTGTGTGCATATTTTGAAAAAGAACTGCCAAGAGTTTGATGTACAGATGAGAGAACTGTCTGCTAGCCTGAAAAACAGCTCTTCATGTCCATAGGGAAATTAACAGCCTGATCTTGCTGGCATCTCAGCAAGAGCAGAAACCTCTGGCTTCGTTCTCCTAAGAGAACCTCGTGTGTAAGTTCTCCTGTAGCACAAATTCGGCTGTAGAGTAATTCATCAGAAGTTAAACATTAGAATTGTGTCCTCAGAACCTCGGTGTAAGCAGAGATGTGCAAGGGTAATGAGTAGGTTATCTCTTCTTAAGATCAGGAAGTTGGGGGCAAAGCTTTTGGAACTCGAAGAATCATGCAGCAATAGTATTCAGTCTACAATATGCTTGATGCATAATGAATAGAATACATTTTAATTCATCACCTCTTACAAAGAGACTGTGGTGATATAATATCAATGAAAAAATACAAAGTTCTAGTGAAAAATGTTTTTTTAACTAAGGCCACTTTCAAAATCAAAGCACATAAAGTTTTCATTGGATGTACTGCTGACTTACCCTGTAGGGTAAGTCAGCTATAAACCTATAAACCATTGCTGTATCAGTGCCAGTTTGGATAAATTTGTATTCTGATTTTAAGGTATTTAGACTTAAATCCGATTGAAATTCCTTCTCCCTACAATTTCAGGGTACAAATCCTATTATGTTTTAATGGTCTTGTTACGTGCAATGATAGAAGGGCTGGCAAGAATTGTTTTAAACTGATGTTTTCTGTATGCCAAATGGGACTTATTCACCCCCCCATTTCCTGTCCCAATGCCCATATTCCCCTGGAAACAAGAGTGAAGGGTTCAGGCCAGGAAGATATAAATAAAAAAAAACATTTCTTTTCGTTGCACAACAGACCGTCCCAGAAGCCTGTAGATTTTCCGTTCACTCTTGGGACTTTTGGCTTGCCTTTCTAGATGCTGCACTATAGAACCATTCCTTTCCTCTCTTCTCTGCCCTTTGCAGAGACATTATTAAGTCAGGATATTTGTCAGATCCATAAACCTTTATATTCTTGAAGAGTCTGGTGTTGAGAAATCAGGTGACCTTTATCTTCTGAACATTCATCTAAACCTCACATTGCTGGTCCTATGTACAGAGCAGCGCTACCAGGGAGAGAGAGGCATGATGCTATTTCCCCAATTGTGTCTACAATACAAAAGCACTGCCGTAGCTGCACAAATTTACATATTTGTCAAAACTGGGTCAATGCAGAAGTGATAGGACACAGTCTTCTTAGGGAAAAAACTAATCAGGTGGTGTTTGGAAATTTGAGCCGAGTTGATAAGATTAGAAAGTCCCTCTCTCAGCAAGAGCTTAGGTTGCAGAATCATTGTTCCACTGGGCCGTGCTGTATCCTACTTTCTTATTGTTTGATCTCAAGGAGCTGAGCCTCGGTGTTGGCACCAGCACTGCATCCTGTCTCTGAAGAAGGGAACATGGATCTGATGTAGACCAATCCCCTTCCTTGAAAAGCACACTCCCCTTAAACGCATACAGAATGTGCTCTTTGTAAAACGTCAGACAGCATGGCACACTGCCCATGCTCTCCCAGTAAATATTATTGTTACTGCACTACCTGAGCAGTGCAGCAAAGGAACTTTAGGCAGCATGAGAAATGTTACAGGGCTTAGGAGTGAAAACAGTAAAACGTTTGTGCTGTGATTTGGAATTCACACAATCTGAACTGTAAAACAATCGCCAGGGCAGTGCATATGTCAACTGTTCCAGTGAAAATACCATGTAAATAGATTTGCAGTGTGCAGTTGAACAAGACAGGAAATTAGAAAATAAACACATTATGAAGATGCAGATGATAAGGGCTTCTTATTCCAAAACATCCTATCTCCATTCTAGCCAGATCACGAAAACTAATCGATATGCTTGCCAGACAGTCGGAACCCAGTTCCAGTTAAGCAAAGCCGGGTTTTCTTCCACAATAAAAGTATAGGACTTGGCACTTCACTTTCACTTTTACTAGACTGGAGATAAGCATGTCTTTTCCCCTCTATGACTAATTAAGGATAGGAGTGGTACAAACTGAGGAAAAAGCACTAGTTCCTTTGTGAAGCCAAGGGGAAGGGCTGACATTTTTGTGATATTAGAATCAGAACAGCAGGCTCAGCGATGTCCCAGTAGCATGCTGATTTCAAATGCCACATTTGGGAGATGAGGCTGAGTGTTCTCTGTTTGCGCAGGGCTGAGAAATAGGTCAGTGAGAGACAGGGCTTAAATAAGAGCTTTGCTAGGCATACCACAGATGTATTGGACATATTCATAAAATATTTTTAGGCATGCTGCATTTTCTTGTACTGTACAACAGAATATAAACTCTCAGTAACTGAAGCAAAATGGGAATGGTTATGATGCAAAGCTGGGATATGTAAATTGCATCTTTATAGACTTTAGTGATGCTGGTGTCTTGCAACTCAGGAAAAATAAACAAGTGTATCTTTCCTAAGGTGTACAGTGTTTAATGAATACCTTGGTCAGGGATGTGAGCTTTAAGTCTCATGTATCAGACTCATTTGCAATACAGGCCACATTTGATTGAAATGTTCATCAGGCAGGCTATGCTTATCATAGATTATCAAAATACTAGACACACCTATTACAGAGGATGAATTATTTGTAGTCTTTCACGTTTATGGTGTATTTGACAGCAAATTGATGATGATGATGTTATCCAGTCAGTCGGATCCGACTCTCGGCAATTCTATAGGCCATCTCTCGCCACGCTTTCCGGTCTTGGACTTTC